GGGAGAAACTCTCAGGGTAGGAAAGCAGCTAATAGTTGAGCACTTTCCTGCAGATTATATCACATCATGCTGAACATTTTAAAAAAATATTTTATCACACAATGTAAACATTTTTTGTGCCCCTTTATCAATTTCTCCCTAACCCTGTTTCTCCCCCTTCCCTTTCCCACCTCTGGTGGCCTGTTTTGTTCTCTCCTTTTGTAAGTTCAAGGAATTACTGTGATTGTTGTATCTTTCATTTGTTTTACGCTGAGCAGTTTTATTTCCAGAGGCTTATTAATGTGGATAGTACTGCTTCTTTTGAGGATATACCTGAAAAAAAAGCATCCTTGAAATTCAGCCTCCAGGCTCGTTGATTTCTCAAGGCTCTCATGTCCACAAAATTAGCTATGTTGTCAGGGATTATTTTTCTTGGGAAGGCCACTTTTCTGTTCAAGTCATTTGCCTGATCTCTGCTGCTGGATTTGATGTTAAGTTTTACAGCAAAGGTTTTTACTTACTAGCTAAAACCACTGCAGTAGCCTTGACATTTGTGAGAGCTGCATCCCGCCATCTTGAATACCATTGTGGAGTATAATTTCCTGCATTAGGGGCAATCAACTGTAGCTGAAGCACTTAGTAATCCCTTCTTGAGTCCTTTAATGTGACATGGTGGGTTTGGATGTGTATCCTGAGGGTTCTATGGTGCTTGGTCATGATTCAGAATTATGACTCAGCAAAATTATAAATTATTACACTTGTTAGGGACCTCTGAAGTCCCACAAAAAATGTTAAGCCTGTACATTTCAAGGGTCTGCTCTACTTCCAACAAGGCAACTGAGAACCAACCTACACTATAATAGAAAAGTCTTTGGTAAAAAAGTCTTTGGAATTTATTCACTTTCATTGTACACATTGTGAAATTCCAAGATTATCAGAATTTACAGCTTACTTCTAAAAGCGTATAAAGTGAATAAAGCTTTTCCCCAGTACTCTGCCCTACCCAGAGGGAAACATTCCAAGGCTTTCATGGCTTTCCCTTCCAAAGCTCATAATTGGTAGTTATACTTTCCTTGGGCTTTCCTCCCTGCTATCTTTTCAAGCAAAATGCTCCTTCTTTGTTTGTTTGTTTGTTTCCAGAGGATGACCGGTAAGGGTATCTTAACCCTTGACTTGGTGTTGTCAGCACCAGGCTCTTCCAAGTGAGCTAACCAGGCTTGGCCCTAAAATGCTCTTTCTTTGGTTCTCACTGATCCCTCAGGGGAAGGAGCAGGGTGGCCAGATGAGGCATCTTTAAAGGCAAGAGCTAAAGAACTCAGAAACTTATATAAATAGCTTTACAGAGGTCACATCCTTTGAGCTTGGCCAGATGATTTTAGAGGTTACTAGAGAATCATTTGGTCCCTAGATGTGGCTAGAAATGTTTCCATTCGTTCTTTCATCCCATATTTACTCCAGCCTATTACATAATGTTGCTTTGTGTTGCTTTGCCCACCATGGATTTGTCACCCCACTTCCCCTGGATGCAAGGATAACCCAAAGCCAATCTCTTCTGAGCAGTGAGAGACCCCGAAGTGGTTAACTTCCCTGGGAACCCTCAAGTGAGAGGGAACCCATTCTTGGGAAATTAACAGCAAATTGGGGTTCTCTTCCTGCATTTATTTTCCAGACCAGGAAGTTACAGGAAGAGAACAAAGGCGGGGTTATAGTTTAACAATATAGGCTAGTAACTTTTAGTGAAACAAGCCAGATGACATTCCAGTAAGGCTATCAACAAAAGCTTTGATCTTAACAAACATTCCTTCTCCCTCTAGCAGTTTCTCAGTATCTTTACATAACAATCAGTAACTAGTCTGTCTTTGAGCCAGCAACCTGCTGTGCCACAATTCTTATCTTGCAACAGAGACTTATAGCCTGAGGAAAATTTCCTGTCCTTGCAAGGTCAATACTTGAAACTGCAAGGCTTTGGAAAACCAGGTCCTGTGAAGTACATATGCTTTTTATTATATTCCACAACATAACATACATTAGGGATAGAAATAGCAAGAAAGAGCTTAGGTAAACAGGCAATTGCAATCTCATTTGATAAGTGGTATAAAAGCACTGTATGGGGCAACTACTCTGCAGAGAGTGGGAGGGAAGGGATAGAGACATGTCACAGAAGGCTTCTAAAACTAGGAGAACGTATGTGGGGTGAGAGTTGTAGGTTAAATAGGACTCAGGAGAAGGGCAATATAAAAAACGCTGTTTGGACAAAGATGAAGAGCAAGATCGAGGAAAGCATCCTGAGTTTGGATGACTGCGTGAATGGCTAGAGTTTAGGGTCAAGGAGAGAGTACCAAGATACAGTGTTGAAGAAAGATAAGTGATGGTAAATGATTTATGGTAGGAAGGCCAATTAAGAGGTTTGAGAAGATATTAAGATAAAGTAGAGGGATTCCAGAAATATTGAAGTGAAATGAGCATGACAGTACTTATGTATGATTATGGATGGACAGCAGAGGGAGGAAGTAATTAACATTTTTCTGGATTGGGAAACTTAGAAGGTGGTGATAAGATAAACAAATTGAGAAGGAAAGATAGGTTTATTTTAGTACGTACTTTGTTGGAGGTGCCTGTGGAGAGGTGAAGTAAGCAACTTAAAAAATGGGTCTTATATGTGATATCACAGTTGTATTTTTGCAAGAACTAAGGAATAGGAGACTGAAAAAAACTGCACATTAAAATCATCTGGCCACCCGCACCGGCCGAGAGGGCGCCGTGTACTGGATAGCCGGGGAGGTGGAGCCGGCCCGGGGAGCGTTAGCGTTAGGTGCAGGCGGCTTTGGCTTTCGCCCTGGATGCCGAGAGCGAGGAGGAGGAAGAGCTTTCTGCTGGATGAGGATCCGGAGGCCAGAAAGGAGACCTTCTCTCCCTTGAAAAACAAAGCACTTTGCCGACGCCAGGTTAGGTTTTTCAGGTGTTCGAGGGAGACTTTTTCCCCCCCGTGGCATCACTCGCGTTTCCTCTCCTGGGGCTGGGAGAGGGGGTTGAGAAGGTGCCTGGACTATCAGTGCCTCCTCTTCCCATCTCCCGGAGGAGCGCGACTTGCATTGCTTCCGATTTGTGGGTGGGTCTGGGGAGACCAGATGTGCGCCTTCGGCTGGAGGAGAGAGGCGAAAGGAGGTCGGGATGTGATTGCTCAGTTGGAGTTTTCCCCCTGGCCTTTTATTAAAGGCCGATGGAAGATAGGAGTTGAAGCAATGGGCATAAATTAGGATCCTAATTTTCACGGTTTCCCTCGTTAGAACAACGTGTGAATACTTCTGCTTAGTTTAGGGGGGTAAAATTACTTCCCTTAATGCTTAAGATACACGTGGTTCAGGTGAGAAAGCACATTTCAGTGCTTCTAAATTACTGGAAAACAGGTCTTTTAGTCCTAATTCCTAGTAATGTTTGTGTTTTAATGAATGTTCTTTGGATTTGAAATAGAAGCCATCTCCTTGTTTGAAAAAATACGCTGCAGTTTTGGCTATAAAATTCTCTCTTCAAGGTAAACATTTCAAAGTCTTGCTGTATTCTCACAGAAAAGCAACATCAAAATTGAGAGACTTATTCAGATCACTGATTCTTCACCTGAGGATTTTTCTTTCTTTCTTTCTTTCTTTTTTTTTAACATCACCGGTAAGGGGATCTTAACCCTTGTCTTGGTGTTGTCAGCATCACGCTCTCCCAAGTGAGCTAACCGGCCATCCCTATATGGGATCCGAACCCTTGGTCTTGGTGTTATCAGCACCACACTCTCCCAAGAGTGCCACGGGCCGGCCCACCTGAGGATTTTTCTATCTGTAATGGAAAAGCATGATTTGTTAATCATATAACGGAAGAGATTTTAGTAGACATTTTTGCCTGTTCAGCATTCGTTCCCTATTCTGATTATTTCTTTTGGAGAACTATTCTTTCTCCACTCTCTTTCCTTATGGTCTGGGCAGGACACCAGAAAGAAAGCATATTTGAGTTAATCTTCTGCCATAGGCTGCATTTACCAAGATAGGTGTTACCTCTTTTCCAATGGATTTAAATCTGGAAGAATAGAGAGGCCTGGAGCCATCTTTCTACACGTAAATTCTGAGAAAGAAGGCAACATGAAAGAAGATTCAAAGATGGAGATTTGGCCTAGAGACATGTTTGATGCCCTGAAACCAATGTGGACTAGATTCCTCTGGAAATTTCAGTTAAACTAGTCAATAAATTCTTGTATGTGTTTATTGCTTAAGCCAGTGAGAGGTTTTCTGTGACATGCAATCAAGAGTTCTGTTTACTGGTAGGTAGCAAGAGAGGAGGCAAGGTTAACAGTACTGATAAAGGTAGGTTGCAGACAAGAGGGTTTGAATCCTTTTCCTAGGATGGATGTTTGGATTTTAGTTTAGTGACAGATACCTCCTCATATTCCACGTCATCTAGAACATATATCTTCAAAAACACCTTTGCTCTTTTCAATGGTTTCATTGTCCTCTTAGTCACCAGGATCAAACCATGTTCATCTTTGACTCCTCCCTCTCTCACTTTCTGTATTTAATTATTTACCAAGACCTGTTGATAATCCCCTGTTTTTCTGCTCAGTCCTCTGTCTCTGCTTGAGCATTTCTCACAGTTCAGTTCACAACTTCTTTCTTCTCATAGTCTCCTAAGAAAAAAAACAACCAGATATTTCTAATAGATTTTCCAACTTTCAGATTCCACATTTCCATGAAACAAAAATTTTGCCTCATAGTTTCATAGATCCTGAATTTATGTCCCTCTCCTTAAACACAATTTATGTAATTCAGATATTCTGTTCACTCCTCGCATGCTTTGTTATCATTTAAAGTATTTCCAACTCCCTTCTCAGCTGATTTCTCCCAGTTGATATCTTGATAGAGGCAATATAGCATAGAGGTTAAGAGCACAAAATTAGGAGCTAAACTGCCTAGGTTTAGATTACAGTTCTACCACTTAATATCTGCACGACCTTGAGAAAGTTATTTCTCTGTTCTCTAATGTCCTCATCTGCAAAATGGAGATAATAATCCCATCTCATAGGGTAATTGAGAAGAGACTGTACTTGGGGGGGGGTATGTGTGTGTGTATAACAGTACCTGATACATAAGAAATCTCATATAAGTGTTGGCTATTTTTATCAGTGATGTCCATTTTTGTGTAATTCTCATGTTTCTTTTGACCAAATTCTTCCCCTAGTTCCTCACGTCCCATTAGTCACAAAGTTGTTTATGTACTTCCCTAATACGTCTCTCATCTATTCTTCCATTGACATTCCTAGTTTTACAAACACTATAGTTTAGGTGAATTAGAAAATAGGAAGTTTAAGATATGTATACTAGGCTTAAATCCTGACTAATACTAAGCTGAAAGACATTGACCAAGTCGAGTAATTCCTCTGAGCTTCAGAGTACCTATGAATAAAGTTATAAGGACAAGCATTTGAGAGAACTGTGATGATCAAATGTAAATTAAACTGCTACATAAAGGTTGGGTGGTGAGGATGGTGGTTGTAGGTCTTTATAACCTGTTGTTGGAACCCTAGGAATGTTTGAAATTACTCACAGATTTTTAACTCCAGCGTACACCTCTCCCCTGGGCTCCATTACACATATGTCCGATTGCCTACCTGATGTTTTTTCTTGGATGTCTCACATATCATGGATGTCCCCTTCAATTTGTTCTCCACAGAGCAACAAGAATACTCTTTTTTTTTTTCCTTTTTGTCTTTTTTCATGTCCGGCAACGGATCGCAACCCTCGGCGCTGCACCCGCACCTCGCTCAGCCAGTGAGCAGGAACCGGTCTGTATGTGGGATCCGAACCCTCAGCAGGAGCGCTGCTGCGCTCCCAAGCGGCGCACTGTAGCAGTGCGCCACCGGGCCGGCCCAAGAATACTCTTTTGAAAATATAAATGAAATCACTTTGTGTTCCTTCTGAAAACCGTTTTACCATTTCCCATCACATCGAAATTTCTAATCATGGCCACAATACCCTCTTTGATCTGGCTTCTGCCTACCTCTCTAACCACATGTCCCACCATTTTCTCCTTTTCCCATGGCACTCCCACCCAGAAAGCTCTTTTCAGTTCCTTGCTTATATCTCTGCTATCAGGCTTTGGCACACACCTTGCCCTTGCCTGAACCCCCCTCCTACCTCTTCTCATGGCTGGCTCTATTTCAACCTTTGTATCTCAAAGATCTAACTATTTAAGTAGATCTCTCACCTTCCATCTGCCCGCCCCACATAGTACCCATAGTTATACTCTTTCATTGTGCCCCCCATAATATTTATAAGCTTAAATTATGTATGTATTTGTTTGATATTTGTTTTCTTATTTATTATCTTCCCTACTACCACATGATAAACTCCAGGAGGGCAAGAACCATGTGTTTTGTTCACCACTGTATATGCAGCATTCATTTTAATGCCTTAGGTCAATGAATGATTAAATGAATGAGTGAGATGAAAGGTAAAACATGCTAGAAAGAAGATTTTTCATGATCATCTTTATATCCCAAATTATGATTTTAGGCAGATTATGGTCAAGAGGCGATGTGTTTGAAAATACAAAGGAGGGAGAAACAAATCAGTGAAATACAATTTGACTAATACTGTGCTAGTAATTGAGTATTTCAAGGACCCATAAGAATATATAAAATCGTAATATATAGAACACCTGTACAAGAATATGCTGAGTGAAGTCCAAAATAGGGAACAAAGGGCATGAAGTATCTCACCTTTTAAATAGCTGCCAATACTTGGGGCCAGATACCCACTCCCTCAGCCAGGGCTAAAAGTTGGACAACACTGGACCTACCACAGCCAAAACCTCCCAACTCCTTACTCTCAGGCCATATAAGTAGAACACTTGGGAAGAAGAGGAACACTTGAGAGAATCTTTGAAGCCACTGTCTTACTAGGTTCCTGGAGAGTATTGTAGCTGTTCCTTTCCTTTTTATGCCCCACAGCACCCCAAGTTAAGTGAATCAATATCTTCAATAGAATCAGCTTGAGAAACTAGAGGTGACTGCAAGAAGCGAAGGCTGATATCTCATCCACTGACGGATTTATTGATACTGTCCTGCACTTACCTGAATAGGAAGATACAAGAGGTCTTCAAAAAGTACATGAAAAATGCATATTATGGAAAAACTCTGCATGGACAGCAAAAAATTTTTGCACCAAAATAAACTCATACTAACTTGTTATAACACGTCTGAAACAGGATCTAGTTTGAGGCACTAAGAATAGGACAATTTGAAAAGAGCCCCCATCAGAGCAACATGAATTCTGCTAAAATTGAAGCAGGAACAAACGACAAATTTATGTAAAGCTTGGGTGGAAGAATGGTGAACCATTGATGCTTTACAGAAGGTTTATAGGGACAATGCCCCAAAGAAATGAACAGTTTACAAACAGATAACTTGTTTTAAAAAGTGATGAGACGATGTTGAAGATGAAGCCCGCAGTGACAGACCATCTATATGGATTGGCAAGGAAAAAATTAGAGGACCAATGATTAACAGGAAAAACGATAGCGAACATCATAGACAATTTGTTTAGCTTACACAGTTCTGTCTGAAGAATTATAGTTGAGCAAACTTTGTTCCAAAACTGTTGCACCCAGATCGGTTGCAGACAAAAGCAGAGCTTTCAATGGAAATTTTAAACAAGTGGGATCAAGACCTTGAAACATTTCTTCAAAGAACAATGGTCATGGCAGCAGGTTTTTGGGATGCTCAGTTTGCTTATTGGCTTTCTGAACAGCCAAAGAACAGTAGTGTCTGCTTATTATGAGAGTGTTTTGAGAAAATTAGCCAAAGCTTTAGCAGAAAAATGCCCAGAAAATTTTCACCGGAGTCTTTCTCCACCATGACAATGCTCCTGCTCATTCCTCTCATCAGACAATGGCAATTTTGCAAGACTTTTGATGGTGAATCTTTAGGCATCCACCTTACAGTCCTGATTTGGCTCCTTCTGACTTCTTTTTGTTTGCTAATGTTAAAAAATCTTTAAAAGGCCATCATTTTTCTTCATTTACTAATGTAAAAAAGACAGCATTGACATCAACAGCATTCCCAAGACCCTCAGTTCTTTAGGGATAGACTAAATGTCTGACGTCATCACAAAGTGTCTTGAAGTTGATGGAGCTTATGTGGAGAAATAAAGTTTACTTTTTAAAAATTTTTCCACAAATTTTTTGAAGTCCCCTCATACTTGGAAACAGCTGGCCAGGGAGTGGGCTGAAGTAAAGTTATCTGCAGTTCTACCATTTGGCATGGCAAGGATGTGTTGATTTCTCATGGGTCCATTGTTGCTGTGTAGAAAACTATGTCCAAGTTTGAACCATCTTAATGCCCAACAAGGAGAGATATGATAGTAGTAAGAGCCTGGATATACTTCTGAGAGAGGGAACTAAGAGAGATTCAAAAACATAGCTAAGACTGATCCATTTCTTATGTCTGGTACAGGACTGTGCAATGGGGAGGCTGCCTCAAAGTTTTTAGGAGAACTCAATGTGTCCCATTAAAGAGTGGACATTTGGACACAATATGGATTGCACAGTTAAGAGAAACATCCATTTCATCCCTATTCACCCTCCCAGTCTCCAACACCAGAGGGATGGGCCCTGAAAGGAGAGGGAAAGAACTGATTAAGAACAAACCCAACTTCCATCTTTAGAGTTCCTTGTGTCACAAGTTCAGTCAGGGAATGTTTGGCTTGGAACTGAGATTGGGGTTTTAAACTGGACAAACTTAATAACCTAGAATGTGGGGGTATAGTTAAAGAATATGCTCAAGCCATCTTTAAGGAATTTGCTGCCTAGTGCTTCTCAAATTTTAATGTGCATGCCAATCACCTGGGGATCTCATTAAAATGAAAATTCCAATTCAGTTATTCTGGGATGGGGCCAGAGATTCTGTATTTCTAACAAGTTCCCTGGGAATGCTGCTGATTCTAGGACCAGACTTTGACAAGCAAGGCACTATAAAGTAGGGAAGGGAGTTTCAATAGAGAACAGGAATAAGCAAAAATATTAGATTGAAAAATATGAAATAATCATTTTTGTTGGTAAAACATAGTTAATATTGGCATTTAAAAAAAGCTTGTCTGTACCCCATTAAACAAAGATGCATTCAGTAAAATGGAGAATGTTACATATTAAATAACTTCGTCACATTTTGACAAACATTTATAACTATTTAAACAAGAATGTATAAATAAACTAGTGTATGCAAGTAGTGACCTGTGTTGGTAGGCATGAGTCCTTGCTGGAAGAATGTGTGTGTACTTCACAGAAGAGTGGGACTAGAATCAGAACCACCAAATTCTAGTATTCTATAATTTTATAATTTTTACAAATGTTTAAGTCTTCAAAACTGTGTTTGAAGATAAAAACTGCCACCTGGTGGATCTGAGTTTAGAGTTAAAAGGAAATATGTACTCTTCTTTCAGCGATCCTAAATGCTATTAGTAATTCCTCCATTAATTTTAACTTAAAAAATAAAATAAATATGTTTTTACTTTTAAAAAAGGATTACATTTAGGGGGAAATTTTGCATTTGGTTTTAATTGGAGGGGAAATAATGTTCATATTTAGATGCATTAGATGGTATTAGAGTTACATTGTAACATTATGATAATATCGCTCCTCCTTTCGTTTCCACAAATGTTTTATCCTGAATGGGAATTTATCCATCCTTTTCTTAAGGAGTTCAGGAGTTGGATCAATATAACTAGGTAATTACTTCTCTGATATGTGTGCATCATGCCATAAAGACCACTGTACGTGACCTCCCTTAACTTTCCTTCTCTCAAGTCCCAAGATTTATATTTTCACAAACTTTGTTGCTATCTCAGAAGAAAGAAGCTTTCCTAATCCTTTCCAAAGTTAGATTCCTTGATTTTACCTTATCTGTGTCTTAGTGCATTTTGTGCTGCTATAACAGAATACCACAGACTGGGTAATTTATAAACAGTAGAAGTTTATTTGGCTAGTAGTTCTGGTGGCTTCAAAGTCCAAGGTCGAGGGACCCATATCTGGTGAGGGCCTTCCTTCTGCATCATCCCATGGCCAAAGGTGGAAGGACAAGAGAACACGCATGCAAAAAAGAGAGGGGGCCGAATTTGCTTTTATAATAAAGCCACTTTTTTTTTTTTTCTGACCGGTAAGGGGATTGCAACCCACAGCACGGCATTACTTGCACCACGGCTCAGCCAGTGAGTGCACCGGCCATCCCTATATAGGATCCAAACGCATGGCCTCGGCACTACCAGCACTGCACTCTCCCGAGTGAGCCATGGGGCGGCCCTATAATAAACCCACTCTTGAACCCACTTTTATAACAAACCCACTCCTGGCAATAATGACAATCTATGCATAAAGGCAGAGCCCTTATGACCTAATCACTTCCTCAAGTTCCCACTTCTCAATACTGTTGCACTGAGGATTAAGTTTCCAACACATGACATTTGGGGGACACATTAACACCATGGCATCTGGTGAAAGAAATTATAATTACCTTACTCAAATGTGTATTTAACTTTCCTTCCACTTCATGATTCTCTACAGAGTCGAAGATCCCTACCCTTCACCAACAGCAACAAAGAGCCTTTTCTTGGCTCCATGTTAAACTGCCTCAATTTCCACCAATTTTTTTTTTTCTTTTTGTAATCTAAGCATTTAAATTTAGTCTAGCTTCTCTCACAAACATCAACCCTTCACCAACAGCAACAAAGAGCCTTTTCTTGGCTCCATGTTAAACTGCCTCAATTTCCACCAATTTTTTTTTTTCTTTTTGTAATCTAAGCATTTAAATTTAGTCTAGCTTCTCTCACAAACATCAGTGAACATCCCATAAACAGAATTATGGATCATCAATACAAAGTAGAAGAATAAAATATGTTACTGAATTATTATGTGCTGGATTTACCAACCTTTCTTCTACAAGTGATGTTTATTATTTCGCCAAGATAAAACATCCCGCAGGTATTTTGTAGTGTCCTAATATTGTATGTTTTCTCCTGATGAATTCTTCTATGATTACTATTAAAACACAGGTAAGTCCCACAATATATTTTTCTCATCTCTCCTCAGGATTTAGAAATGTACATGTCATACTGTTCTAATGATTCTATAGTTTAACTGTTAGAATACTTAGTAATATTCTAACTAAATAACAGCTATTCAGAACAATAATAATGAGTGGAGATGTTTCTTATGTACTTTTCAGAATAAGTGTTTAATTTTTTAACAGTTAAGAGATTTCAAAGAAAAAGCATAAGGTCAAAATTGAACAATTTTCACTCAAGGCCCCTAAATAATAAACTTAAAGATGTGTTGATTTAAATTAAATAAAAATTTCATGGTTCTTTTTTATTATTTTCATTCATAGGTCTCTTTGGAAGTGAGTGTGCAACACAGAGGACTTAATAATATTTGTGTTTTTGTCCAACATGGGCCGAAAAAAGGATAAGCCACAGAAAAATATTAAGGGTTTAATACAAAGTCTGGTTTTGCTGGAAGCAGTGAATATTCTGAAATACCTGAAAATTTTTGAAACATATAAGCTATAATTCTAATATAAAAATGGAAATAAAATAAATCTATAAATTTTCTGATTTCTGATTATATAAAGGCAGTAGTAAATTAAACATTGACTATACATACACTTTGAAACTATTTATTAAATATTTCAATTAGGTATCATTATCACTGTTGGAACTATTACCGTCATCATGAATAGAAGTGTTTCTAATCGAAGATACCATCATATCTACAATGTCTTTTTTGGGGTTTTCTTCCAGATCAGTCTGTATTGCTCCAACTTCTGCTAGCTTCCATTCAAGTTCTGCAATAAATAAGCCATTATTAAGTCATATAAAAATCTTGGAAAAACAAAAGTTTTCTCATCTTTTTCATCTATATGAAACAGAAGTTGACTCTAATTAAATTCATATGAAAATGATATATTTAGAACTGGATGACAATGAAAGTATTAGAATATCAAAATACATATTGGATACAGAAAAGTTATAATTAAAGAGAGAAATTATGGTTAAACTTTATTTTCAAATGACTGAAAAAATAAATAATTTAAAACTTCAAATCAAGAAGCTTGGAAAATAACAATAAAGTAAACCCAAGGAAAGCAGAAGGAGGGACATAATGAAGAAAATACCTTAGCAAAAACTGATAGACACATTCAGGCAAAAATAATCACAGGAAAAGGAAAGAAACCAAATAACATAATGGATTTACATGGGACATAACCAAAAAATGACAAGATACCATTTCACATCCCTCAAATTGACAAAAAGAAAGTCTAGAAATGCCATGATCTCATGAAGATGTGCATAAATGGGAACTCTCTTAAAGATTAAAACTCAAGAAATTTTATTTATTTTTATTTCTTTCATCTTTCTCAAGAGATTTTAAAAGCCATGAGACTACCATGAAAATAAATATGCCAATACATTTGAAAACTTTAATGGAAAAATTTCAAGAAATATATGGGTTACCAAAACATATCCAAGAAAGAAAGCCTAAATATACAAATAACCAAAATAAATTGATAACCCAATATCCCCCATCTCTGTAAATTCATTCATCATTTTGTTGAATTTATTACTAAGTACTGTATAGATGAACAAAATATTTACAAGGAAAATCATAATATATTTGAAAAATATAAAAGAAGACAAAATAAATGACAAAATATGGATGGCAACACTCACTGTTATTAGGATGTTACTTCTCCAACAATTAATCTAGGAACATGATTCTAACAAATATTCAACAAAATTTTTCACAGAACTTGACTAATTCCAACAGTTATGTGAAATTTTGAAAAAGACTTGCCTTTCTAGAGATACTTAGATTATTATAAAGCTATAGTAATTAACACAGTGCTATAGTGATCCAGGGATAGACAAAAAGAACAGTGGAACATAGTACAGACTTCAGAAACAAATCCAATCATTTTCAAACTGTTAAAATTAATGGAGAAAATATTTCACATCCATTAAGATGGCTATTGTGTTAAAAAAAAATAATAACAAGTATTGCCAAGGATGTAAGGATGTAGAGAAATTGGAACCCTTGTATACTGTTGGTGGGAGTATAAAATGGGGCAGCTGCTATGGAAAATATTATGGATATTCCTCAAAAAATTAAAATACAATAACTGTATAATCCATAACTTCCACTTCTGGATATATTCCCAGAAGAACTAAAATCAGGGACTTTTACAGATACTTGTATACCATGTTCATAGCAGTGTTATTCATAATAACCAAAAGATGGAAGCAACCCAAGTGTCCACCTACAGATGAGTATATAAACAAAATGTGGTTTATTTAGCCTTAAAGAGGAAGGAAACTCTGATACATGCTACAACATGAACAAATCTTGAGGACATTATACAAAGTGAAATGTCAGTCACAAAAAGACAAATATTGTTTGATTCCTCTTATATGAGGTAACTAAAGTAGTCAAATTCATAGAGATGGAAAGTAGAAGAATAGCTGCCATGGGCTGGGTGAAGAGAGGAAAGGGGAGTTGTTTAATAGTTGCAGAATTTCACATTTTGCAAGATGAAAAGAGTTGGAGACTGGTTATGCAACAACATGAATGTACTTATCACTACTAAACTGTATACTTAAAAATGGTTAAGATGGCCTATTCACCAGGGAAGGGACTGCCTCTTCAGCAAAGGGTGCTGGGATAACTGGATATCCATATACAGGAAAATGAAACTAGACCCATACCTCTCACCATATACTAAAATCAACTCAAAATGGATTAAGGATTTAAATATACACCCTGAAACAATAAAACTTCTTAAAGAAACATAGGAGAAACACTTCAGGAAATAGGACTGGACACAGACTTCATGAATACGACCCCAAAAGCACGGGCAACCAAAGGAAAAATAAACAAATGGGATTATATCAAACTAAAAAGCTTCTGCACAGCAAAAGAAACAATTAACAGAGCTAAAAGACAACCAACAGAGTGGGAGAAAATATTTGCAAATTATACATCCGACAAAGGATTAATATCCAGAATATACAAGGAACTTAAACAACTGTACAAGAAACTTTTGTCTGACAATCAAAATCAAATGAGAAGCCCTAGTTGGTGAACATGTATTAGCAATACTACATAAGTAGTATCCAGAACTTTACACACACACATATACACTCATGCGTGAGCGCACGCACGCACACACACGTATAAATCAGTGAAACAACACAATTGAAAAATGGGCAAAGCATATAAGCCATTAGGAGAGTGTTGGGCCTTAAAAACTAACACCACCTTAAGTGACATTACAAGTGGATTAACGTGGCAGCCTAAGACAGTAGGAAGTAGGGTGGGGGTGTCTGCGGGAACCTTGCCTAAGCCCTTATTGGCCAAATACATGCTTCTGCGCTCATGAACACAATAGCTAGGCACTGAGACAGGATGCATGCCCTTGAAGCTGATTGGATTATGTTAAAACCTCTCCGCCCTATCTGCCTATAAAAGCAAGTGCTTGTGTGATAATAAATGGAACTGCTGCTTGCCAGAACCCCCGCCGCGTCTGAGTGTCCTTTAACTGGGCTGGGGGGCCGGCGGTGTGCTCACCTCTCTTCATGGCTCTCTTCCCCCATCTCCTTCCAAAGGGGACAGGAGGGAAAGATGAAGCCAGGCCATTCGCTGGCGAACCAGAAGGAACGAGGCTACGGCTGTAGGGGGGC